AGCTACACTTAGCACGCTGCATCGGCGCACTGATGCAGCTGCACTGCTGTAGTGCTGTAATGAAGAGGTTCTACCCCAACAGAAGAGAGCTCTCCCACTGGTGTAGTTAATCCACCTCCCCAAGAGGCGGTAGCTATGTCAATGGAAGAAGCTCTCCCGCCAACGTAGTGCTGTCTATGCGGGGTGTTAGGTCGGTATGACTATGTTGGTCAGCAGTGTGGATATTTCACACCCCTGAGCAACTTAGTTATACAGGTATAGGTCTGTAGTGTAGACCTGGCCTAAAACAATCAAGGGTTAAATTATAAACTAGAGTGCCCATGAGGATTGAGCTCTGGGAAAGGGGTGTGCTTTAGCTCCTGGGAAGTGTTGGGAGACCAGGGTGGCTGGACCATAGTGTCCCACTTCCAAGAAGGGTATCAGACAGAGAGTCCAAGCTCCAGGAGGTCTGTAACACTGGTATAAGAGTGCCTTTTTCTGCTTTAGCTTATGTTGCTTTGGAATTGGTTTAAGCTCAGCTGAAACAGGCCACTTTTATTTTGGAATAAGAGTATCCACAGATGGAATTATATATATTATACTGGTATAACTGGAAATATTTCCCATGCAGGCAAACCCTTAGTGACGTAGGTACATGAGTCTATTGAAAGTCAATGGGTGTTTTTGACAACCCCACTTTATATATTTTACTTCACACTAGATAACAGTTCAAAGATGTTACTAAATGGTCCTTCTGTTGTGTAATATGTAATGATGCCACAATGAAATGTATGTATTATACTTTATGATGGCACCATTTGAATATAAAGACCTGATAAACAGAATCCAGGTGTTGATTGATAGTGTACGCATAAAACATATACATCAGATAACCCAATAAAATTCCATAGAGAGGGTTTATAAGAAATTGTAATAATTGTTTCTGTTGCAATATTATAGTGCAATATTTTCCATCACAGTCCACTATCTACCCATTCGCAATTAGAAAATATCTATCACCAAAATGCACAACAGTAGTTCCACAGAATGCATGCTATTCATTCTTAGCTAAGGTAAATATCAGGATAGTAAAGAGATGGAAAAAAGCCTTACCCTCATCAAGTGAAGAAGAGTTACCCATGGTAAAGAGACGTAAATGGGAAAAGCTTGATGAAATATGAGTGGAAAGGAAAAGAAAGGCATCACTAAAAATGGGACGGAGGGAAGGGAGGGAAAAAAAAAACAAGAAGTGAGGAGGAAAGGGGGGTGGTTTGTTTTTCATGTTCCTTACTGTAACTATAACTAAAATATTATATTTTGTAAGCGAGGTGGTAATAGCTGTAAAACCAGTCCTCCACTTTACTGAACTGAATTAAAAAGACAACCATACAATCAAACATATTCCATTAATTAGTATCTCACAGTTCATTATGACTGCAGATAAGCAATTTATTTTGCATACCTTGGGGGCTTGTTTTCACTAGCAAATTACATCAAGTTGGAATATGACCCTGAGGAGTCGTGTTAAGAAGATCCTGACCACAACTTTTCAGTCTGTGTAGAGAGGGACACGACATTAATGGATAAACCCAAATTAGAGCCTAGGGTTTATCCATGACCATCTAACTCCATGTAGAACATGTGTCCCTGGCTATACAGACTGCAAAGTTGCGGTCAGCATCAACTTAGCTAACTTCTCAAGGTTACCTTCCAACTCAATACAATTTGCTAGTGAAGACGAGCCTCTTTGGCATCTATTTAAAATTAACTTTCTGACATACAACATTAACTGAATGTACAATATCAATCTAGTGAAGCTCAAGCAATGGCAACTCGGTTATAATTTGTGTGCTAATACTCAACACCTCTCTGACAGAGTATAGCAGAACCTTACTGAGAGTGGGAGTGTACAGGTGCAGATTAGAAAGGCTTCAAAATTCCCAGTGCCAGGGGGCCAGGACAGTGCTGAAGCACCACCCTGTGCACTAGCACTTAGTAGCATCATGAAACCAAGCTAAGCCACCTATGATTGGCTATGATTGGCTACTGCTGGTGCTCCTCCTCCTGCTCCTGCAGGGGGTTCTCAGTGCCCCAGAACAGCTCTGTTTAGGCTAGCGTAGAAATGGAAAGTAACCCAGTGACTAAGATTACAGTGAAATGGGTATGCAAGAGCTGTTAGAAAGGCCCCTTAGGTTCCCTCCTCTTCAAAGACTACTCCTACAACAGCTACTGCCTCTGCTTGCATGCTTTCTACAGTACTGAGCCCTACCGTGGGTCTGTGCTGAGAAGAAGATAGTACTTAGATCCACCTCCTTCCCACTTTATTGGAAGCAAAAGAGGAAAAGAAGGCAACTGGGGGCTGTCCTCTCCCCTCAGAGCTCATCAGCATATAGGGTAAATCCTGCCTTAGTGACTACTTCTGAAGACAGACCACCTGTCACGTGTGACTACTTGCAGAGGCTGCGGAACACTCCCGCTCTCTGGTGTGTAAACCTTTGAAGAGAGACCACCTTTTACAAGTGACCACTTTTGCTAACGTCCATGAGTGATCGCTCTTGGCAGGTTTTACTGTATTATAAAGTTAAGGCAGTTTTGGCAATGTTCACTACCCTACACGTATCCCAATTTAATTCACTCTGACCTCGTGCTGCCTGATCAGTCAGTGCTTTTAAATCCATCTCTCAATTCTCTAACAATTTATTAACAACAAAAGCTCACCAACTTACTGTCCCTTCCTCTCACGAATGATTAATAAATCTATAAAATAACAGTGATCCACATTAAACCCTGGGCAGGTAATCCCTCTCCATTGTAAGGAGCAGTCATTCACTGCAACTCATTTTAGCCTACAAAGTTTTAATCCATCACAGAACTTTGCCCTCTACAAGGTGGCTTTTTATTTCCTTGATCAATAGCTTTTTGAAAATCCAAGTAAATTATGATCACTGGGTCACCTTTCATTCCCAAGTTAATACTTTTTTCTATGAACTCTAATGGGCTAGAAAAACATATCTTGTAGGTGTCACACTCGTTTGACCCTATCAGGTTGTACTTATCTAAGTATACTTTACTTTATCCAATAAATTTATCTAAGTGTTCGCACTACTCTATCCTTAGACTCAGTTAGTTCTTTCCATTAAAGTTACTAGCAGCTCAGTGGCTAAAACCTTATGCAATCTTTTGCAAATGTGATTTGTTTATTTTTGTGTGCAGTGTCATTGGGTGATCTTTGAATTTGCTTCTGTTCTCCCTACCAGTCTCACCTCAAAAAATAAAAAGTCTGTAATGGTTCTGGAAGAGAACAGGAATTGTTCTTAAATAACATTTACTAGTTATCCCATGATACCATTTTTTTAAATCTGTGCTTTTTTCACATCGCACTCCTTGTTAACAGTGCTCGGATACTTATATCACACCATTATATGCTATTTGGTGGCACAGCATTTTTCCCTTCTAGAGGCCTACAGGCTTTGAACTAAATGTATAAACATTAATAATAAAAGCTAGTAATAATAAATGCTGAAATTGATTGCATTTCCACATTATACTGTTGGCTTTAACATAGTATTAATCAGAAAACATCATAATGTATACTTGTAAAACAGTTCATGCAATTTAATTGCGATGTGGTTTGCTACATCAGGGATTGACAACCTTTGGCACGCGGCCAGTCAGGGCAATCCACTGGCGGCCGGGCCGGTTTGTTTACCTGCAGCATCCGCACATCCCTCGGCCCGCGCCGCTTCCCGCAGCCCCCATTGGCCTGGAACGGCGAACTGCGGCCAGTGCAATCGGCCGAACCTGCGGACGCTGTAGGTAAACAAACTGTCCCGGCCCGCCAGAGGATTTCCCTGACGGGCTGCGTGCCAAAGGTTGCTGATCCCTGTGCTACGTTCACCTTCATTAAAAATAAAAATATATATACTGTTTATTCCTTTAGAACAAGCTTGCTATCATAGAACACACTGACAGCAACAAATTCAAAAAGCTGATACATGAATACTGAGAGCAATAATCAAGGTCATCTTCATAAAACTAAGAAAAATTATTTGTGTTCGCTTTTTATATTTTAAATTATATATAAAAGTTTTCCTTTCAAGTCTGGAGAAAAGGCAGACTGGTTGCTGAAAGTATAATATTCTACCAAAATGTGTTAATATTAATGTGTTCTATGAAAAAAACAAAACATCAAATTAACTTTATATGCTACCACTGAGTTCTAGTAATGTACATTCAGGGTACAAAGATTCTGCCTCTTACAAAAACATGCCTGCTGCCGCACAGTTGTTACTAAATTGAGTGACTGGAGCAGATGTCATTGGAATACTTCCACATACAAATGACTGTCCCTGGGTTTGCTTTCAGAAATAAACAAGAGTCAGAACACCTCACTTTCAATGCCTCAGTTACAACAACATCCCACGCCACAAACATCTCTTATGGATTTCAAATTTAGCAATGGAAAAAAAATAAGAAAAACAATCCAATCTTTAACTTTACTCCTCTTCAAGGTGACTCAGTGATTCAAATGTACGTGTTTTAGGGCTATTGATTATCATCTTAACTGCAGTCGAGTTCATGTTCATTTTAAAATTGGAACAGACACTTTCTTTAATACTTTTTTAGCCAAATTGATTTTTTTAAAGCAGTATCTATTTCCCTTGTATTTGAAATGTAAAGATTATTGGTAACTACACCACAAATGTAAACCTTTAACACATTACAAACATATAATATGCATTAATCTTCACCTTACCAAAACATAGTACAAGTATTCATTTGGCCTTGCCAATTATTTCAGGCTTTTAACAATAAAATCAATTTCCCATGCCAAAAAATCTAAGTTTCATATTTCTGTGTTCTCTTAAAAAAAAGTTTATGCAAGGAATGTGTGATTAACCTTGCATTTAAAATTCACTATGAACCCATTAACTGCTTCTTGGAGCAGAGTAAGTACCACTAAAATGCAGATATCTACACCATAACTTTGTTAGAGGAACAACAGAAACATGGCAACTTACCAACGTCACTGCTTCTTTCTGAGGAGTCCTTCTCCAAGGTTCCGGATACCGTACTGCCCACTAACTCTACTTTTGTACTATCATTCCTACAGTGAGAAAAAGAAGAGGAGACATTTATTAGAGTTTGTCTGTGGGCTACAATAAATTGCCAGCTTGCAATTAATAAAAAGAGGGGGGACGTGTTCCTCCTGTGTAGCACTGAGTTATAGCAACCTGTCACAGAGAGCCATCTCTAGTAAGCAGACATACTGCATGGATTAACCTTATCTCATTTCTCTTTAACACCTGTCAAAAAGCTATTTTAGACACAGTAGTGTCCTAAATTATTCCTCAAATGTTCACAGCATCTCAACATGAAGGAAATCTAAGGGCAAAGGGCTACCCTTCAACAGCTTATTCTTAGTTGCTTACAATTAATAATTGGTGCCTAGATATTATGGATAGGTGAACCAGAAATCTGCAGATAAATGGATGAAGAGAAAAAATGTCAAGCTGGGATAATGGGATCCAGCAGTGCTCTGTTCTGTTCACAGAAGCAGCTTCCTCACCAGGGTAAGTGCTTCCCACTAGAAAAAGAAGATTTTTGTACATATTACTCATCATTAGGCTATGAAATCCCTTTCTATGGTTTCAAGGATGTCTCCCAACCCAGGAACTGTAGAGCGAAAATTTCTTCACCATAGAAAAATTATAGAGGAATGGTGATATTTTATATAGGGGGGACTGAAATTTTGAAGAGCAACTGGGATTCAGCCATGAGTAACCCATGCAAAAGCTCACATACCACATACTAGTTAAGTTTATCGAAGCAATATGATCACTCAGACAGAATAAAATGGGATCAGCGGTAGGAGCACAAGTGGCTAAACTGCACAGGTCCCACACACAACATTCTTGTGAAAATTTACTATGAGATTTCAAGAGAGCTTTAGCTCACTTAATGGAATAAAAATCTGTATTATAGTCATGAAATATTTATCCCATTTCATGGCCAGCCTCACAATATTGTATAATTCCCACAATAATTGTCACCATTCATACATGAATAGTATTATCTATATAGAGTTATTGTGCACGTCTTTGCACACTGGGCAAAATGTGCCAAATATATAACTGTCCCTGCAACTAATGACCTAGATATTTAGTGTTTCTTAAAATAGCAGTATTAGCTATTAATAAATTAGAAATAAAGCATGATCTTCTAAAGACTTAGCATTTTGCTCCTTACTTTTCACTAGCAGATACAAGCACATACCACCTGGCTGTTTCTGGTGGTGTAATCTGGCAAAGGATGGTTTGGATTTAGTTAATGATGCCAGATTTATAAGCATGAACATGGCATTAGCTATTAGAACTGTTGAGACTAAAAATGCTGTAATGGATAAGAAGTCTGGAAAGTTTTGTTAAAAACTGGAAGAAATTACAAAAAAATGGATATACACAGATAACACTATTGTAGGTTAAAGAGAATACTTAAGAATGTAAAAAGACAAAAAAACCTAGTTGATGATCTAGAAAACAAGATCATATTATGAAATATTAAGTTGTCAGGACGTCCCTGTAGGTGAGGAAGCAGAAGAAATTAAGACATTCCTGTCACACTGGATTAGTAAAATGCTGATGATAAATGAGGATGTTCAGAATGATCTACTTGATCAATAAAATTCTCTCTCTTTTTTTAATCACTGGAAGAAATGTATAACAAAGTAACCGTGTCCTGGTGGTAATCCAAAAAACTATCTTCATTGTACCTACCCTGGACCTCTTTGCCCAGATGTATTAATGGCGAAGAAAGAATGCTAATTGGAAGTGTTCTGAGAAAGGGATGTATGCTGTTTGGGTTGGGGTTGTAAACTATTACGATTTTAGGGCTGAAGGATACTGAGGCTGACCTTGATGTTGGAACCTTAAAGGATACTTAACACAGCTGTCTTAAGGAATGCTAAATGTCCTTCAAGACTCCATATCTTAAAAGTGTTCCCAATGAACAGAATTTGTCCATCACACACACATACAAGTTTGTTATAGGGTTGTTCACGGGGTGCTAGAACAAATTTTATAGTGAAGGTGCTGAAAGTGTAAACCATGTATCTGGCTATTACTGATTCAAGTCCAGGGGGTGCTGCCACATCTCCAGCACCCAAAGTTGCTCATACCTTAAATGCTCAATTGCTGGTACCGACCTTTTGCCATTTGTATAGCCTTCTGCTATTCCTTCAAAAAGCAACACCAATCCTTTATTGGTGTTGCTTAATCTCCAATAGATGAAAGTGAAAAATATTGCTTCAGATGAACATATCTCAGAAAAACAGGGTAAAACCCTGGTTTCAAAAGAGTCATTTGAACAGATAGTATGTGCCTTATCTACACTAGAAAATTGAACTGCTGGTAATTGGTGTAATTACCAATAGTGCAGCATGCCCAAATAAGCCATTATGTCTGGGGACAGGTCAGTTGCAGCTTTGCCCCACATCCAAACTTGTTGCAGGGCCTTCTTGGTACCTAACCCACAGTCCTTGAAGCCTTACCCAGGCTCCAAAAGAAAATTATTTATTTAACTGAAGAAACTGATTTTTATTACAAAATATAAAAACAGCCCACTGAAACCCACGAGATGTAAGACTCTTGACACACACTAGAATAATGATGCCATTGCTAACCAACAGCCACAGAAATCTAAGGGAAATTTTGTTAAAATCCACAGGATTTTTCCCTTAGAATCTGCAAAATTGCTGTAGGAGTTAAATTTTTTTTTAATTGTCTAATTGGCCTGAGTCTTACAGATCTCAGTATAAGATACCAGAAGGTACTTTCAAAATATTTATTAGCTTATTAAACTGAAATGATTATAAAAAGAAATAACCAACCAAATCCTGCAAGCTACATTTAACAAACACCATTTTTACCCTAATTTTCCAAGTTTCTGAATTATCCAAATAATTAAAAGATTATTTTTATAGATTTGATCATATGAATGTCTAGCCTTATTCCTATAAAATGTCCTTACAAATAGGCATAACAGCATACAAAAGTGACCCTGGATAACTCATTAGTTTAAATTAGCTGATAAAATAATGAGTGGTAAACAGTTAGCAATTGTGACATTTAAAGGGGCAATATCAACTTAAACACATTTTTCTGTACTTTTAAAAAAACAATTACTGTTACACATAACACCTACTCCCATAAGAGATTAGAGGATTACATATTTCTCTCTTTTTTCTGTGTTACAGTATGTACTGGTCAGCACTTTGAAGCCAGTTTCACTGTTTACCCTTCTGTAGGTCTTTCAAACAGCTAATGGAGAAACAAAAACATTCTTAATCATAGAAACATGAGATTGTATGTATTTATTAATTATTTTCTTTAGTGTTATGTTCAAGCACCTCCTATGTGTAGTCAGGTGGGGAGAGATAGACATGTCCCAAGCACATCAGTAAGACTTCAAAACCTGGCAGGGGTCAAGGGCAGATGTAGCATCTTAAATGACTTTTTTAATTGACTAGATTTCAATAAAGAGTGTCCTTTTATAGGCTATTATTAGACGAATGAAGGGAAGCGTGATCTATGGGTCCTATTCTATTCAGGTTCTTAATCTGCCCTTATCAAGGTAGTATATGATCACATAAAGTTAAAGTGAAGGACTGAGAGCATCCTCTGGTTCCCCCACTTGTAAAATGGAGTCAATGATACTCCAGTGTGTTGCAAAACTTAATCAATGCTTGTAAAGGACATTGGATAGCCACCGATGGAGGCCATAAATTATTTTTCAAGCAGCATTCTAGAGTAGTACCTTGAGTATGTCATTGTGTAATCAAAACACATTTTGTAACCCAGTTTGCAACACGCTTAGACTTGGACTACAATAGCCAGGGAAAATGGACTGAAATCAAATTAGCACCTTTCTAGGCACTACAGTGTTTAAAAGGGGAGCACACTGGCTAATATTATTCACTATTATATTTAACTACCCAGGAGAGTAGAAAGGGACACGCAGTGGTCAGAGCTAATCTAGAGTTGTTGGTCTTGTTGTAACTTGAGTTAACAGAGTGCCAATTAACTTGAGTTTAACTAACTTGATTGTACATGCTAATATAGACACTCCACAAACTTTACAGCAGGAATAAACATCTTCAAGTGTCTAATTGACAATCAATTCAATTGAGTTACAATAAAACCAAAAGCACTAGACTAGGTAAAACCAGTGTGACAGTGTGATGATACAGTATCTAACCAAAGAAAGTTAGAATTGGAAATGAACAGTACCATCAATAGAAAACCTACACTCTATGAATTTGCAACTTTTAACAATACCTTGTATGCGTCAGAGGCACAGCTGGTCTTTCTGGTCGTCTTGGGGGCAATGTACCAGGTCTATTCAGAGAGTTCGTTTTTGGTGGTCGAGGTTTCTTCGGAGGTATAGCAGGGACTGAAGGCTTGTGCAAATCTACCAGTTTTTGCTCTCTTTCTGGTCTTTCTTTAAATCAATTTCCCCCCCAAAAAGAACAAAGATCTTATTAAGTGGAATTCACTGGCACACATTGATTTACAATGTACAGAAGCTATGAATGTTAGTTAAACCACATCTAAGAAATAAGTCTGCATTCTTCACTGTTCTGCCTTACTTCACTCTTTCCTGAGAATAAAATGTTTATACCAGTTTTGGGCTAAATACATTTCAATAGTTTGAATTCGCATTAAACCTGCTCTTGGCTAACGTGCAGACAGTGTCTGAATCTGAGTGTAATTTCTGATTTTAATCATTAAAAAATTTTATTGATTATTTAAATAACTATTAAAATAAGAAGACAAGAGAATTACACATCATACAGAAACATTTCCCCCAAGCCTGCCTTCATACTAATTTTTACTCTGTGAGATAATACTCAGTTAGAAGAGCACAAAAATAAGGATAATTTTGTGTGTTCTTAATGCTCAGCTGAAACATGCAAATATCTTCTTTTGAAAATGTATTCTGCAGGAATTTAATACAAATATACTTAAATGAAAAATTAATCAGCTTAAGATACTAGGGTCAAAATATAACAACTTGGGGGCCAACATTTAGACAGCCAGATACATATTTAGGCATCTAAATAGAAGTGGCCTGAAATTTTTTTTTTTTTTTTTTTACAAATTTGGGCAATTGGAGCCACAGGAAGTCAGTACCTCTCAAAAATGGGCTTAAATATGGATAAATACCTAATATTTGGGATTCCAAGTTTCAAAAGTGGTTAGTTTGCATTTAAACTCATTACTTTTCATAGGAAATTCTACAGTCTTTAACATGCCAATGCCTGCTATTGCTAGGATGTATATAGAGCACATACAAACTGCTTGCATGGTCCCATTATAAAATATGCTGTAAATGCATATTGTAAAATGTAGCTGAACACTTTTACCACTGTAGATTACTTGGATGAAACCTTAGCTCCATTGAAATCAGTGGCAAAACTCTCACCCCTTGTTTCTCATAATATACCAAACCCATCAGTGACAAGATGGTCTACAGTATGTTGTGAATATACACAGGAATCCCTATGGCATACATTTAAGAATATTACATAGAGCCAGGCTACCTCTTCATAGATTTTAGGATACTAGGTTTGAAGAAATCATGGGCCACAAAAACAGACATTGGCAATTTGTCTTTGTTGATACTACTAGCAGGAAAAAAAATTAAATAAATTGGCAACATAAAAATGTGTTCAAAGGTCTAATTTCAACTCACAAAAGAAGTGGCATTCAAGCCCTGGAGACCAATTTATTGCTGTGTTGTCTAAGTGATGGAAAATATTATAAACCATTTGTATTTCATAGGCATATTTGAATGGGCTAGTGGTTTAGGTTAAGGATAGTGTCAGCCAAGTTATAAAATTTATAAAAAGAAAAAAAATTTGAAGGGCATAGGCTATGTGCCATTAGAGTAAGTTATGGCATATCATTTGTCAACTCTCATGTGTACAGAAAAATTAATATAGAGAGCATAATCAAAGACAAAAGATCTATATTAGGTCATCTTGCTCACCCAGCAGGGAACTATTGTTCACTACAAAATATCTTTATCCAGTATACTTTTACATGACTCAGGCAATGAGTCTTCCACGCCTTCTCTTGGAAGTTACTCCACAATCTACAAGATCTCATAATTTTTATTCAATTTGCTCCTGTTGTTATTATTAATTATTATTATTATTATTATTATTATTTACTATTTGCACTGTGGTGACAAGCAGGAGCCTCTCTCATGGACCAAAACCCCGTTGTGTTAGTCAAGATAATGTACAAACACATAACAAAAAAGAAGGTCCTGCCCCTAATTATATTCTTGCAACACACTACCAAATCCTCTTCTTTTTTGGTGTTCCATAGAACCTAGAGATAGTTCCTATCTCCTCTTATTCATTGACTAGCCAAGCTATAGATATTTATTTTTTGGTAGTGTAATATCTTGTAATTCTCATTGTTTTTATACTTGACTGTATAACTCAAAACTGAAATTGAAAAACATACTATATCATTGTTAGGATGTACAAGCTAGCTGCTATTTTCACTCCATCACTCTCTTTTCTTTTTTTCTATGGCCTGTATAGTTTGCCATGTTATTAGTACTGTATGGAGAGCTAATGGGGTTATTACATACTACAAAGCTTGTACAGTAAAGTTGTCATCCTAATGATTCTGATGTGACATAATTACATCAAAACTGAAGTGCATTTTTAGATATATGTGTAAAATGACATTAAGACTTTAGCTGTGCTGTCTCTTGTATCAAGAGCCCTCTTTATATTAATGACAATACTCAGGGGGCTACACAAACAGAACGCAAGGAAAACTAAACAATCAGTATAAAAAGAGATAAAGTAGTTAAGAAGCCAAGTGACAGTGTGTCATTAAAATTTAACACTCTCTGAAAAAATAGTGTGTTCTGATACATTTTTTTAAAAGTAAGTAGAGATGAGCTAAGACAGCTATCTGAGGTGAGTGAATTCTACACCCAGCCTGTGTCTGTACAACTATTTTTCTTAAAGTTTCCCACCATTGGAACTTCACCAGTGGTAGCAACAGGAGGAGCACCAGTGTAGATGGACCCTCAGTGTTTTAACCATTCTGTCATCTAACTCTACTCAAAGCAGGTCTAGAAAGTAACATATCATGGTTAAAATAGGCCATGTCTACACTAGAGAGCTTACAGTGGCACAGCTGTACTGATGTACCTGCACTGTTGTAAGAACTCTAGTGTACCCACTCTACGCCAATGGGAGAGAGAGCTCTCCTGTCGACATAATTAATCCACCCCCAACAAGTGGTGGTAGCTAAGTCGGTGGGAGAAGCTCTGCCCACACAACGCTTATGTCGGTGTAACTTATGTCTCTCCGGAGTGTGTTTTTTCCACTTGTGACATTCAGCATCTGGCTACTTCGCCTAATATATGCCACAGAGGCATAACAAGGAATTAAATACATTCCATAGCCTGTTTAGTAATTCTAGAAATGGCCATGGAAAGCTAAAAAAAGCCAAGTCTCCTAGCCAAAGTCCAATATAAGATACTATAGGTGCAAATCTATAAACAGTTGCATAATATCACTGCAATAGATACAATGCAATATCTACTAAGCCCAGTATGATTCCCTTATTCTGGTCCCAGAAATTACGCCAGAAACAATTATAGGATTCTTGCAAAATCAATATAATCACATATGTATGAGAGTTGGAAGTAAATATCCACAGAATACACTTAATTAAATCTATCTACTGACTGGAAAATGAAAACTTGAATCAACCTCCTTCTCTGTTCATCACTCTGCAAACAGCAGACATAGAAGCACATTTCATACCTTTCTCCTCTGTTCGATTAGGAAGACATTCTGGCCTTTCAGGAGGTACCTTTTTGATTTCATGTTTTCTGTCTGTGGTACCTGTCAAAGAAAGGCAAATTCATGATTCTGCAAAAAGATATCTGCAAGCAAACCAAGCAAAAGATATATATTTAAATTTGCCCCCCTTTATTTTGATTTTTTGATTCCCCAATTTTGAAATTTTCATGCTTAAACTAAGCCCATTTTCAATTAAAATTATTTACGTCACAAAAGCATGCAAAATGTCATGACTGTGTAGTCTTTGCAGCCAAGTTACATGATTCCAATACATCTCAGGAGAGCAGGCACTTGCAAAATTGCAGAATATTTTGTGAAATGTGCACACAATTGTCCCATTCCAAATATCAAGGAGTCAGAAAATTACATTTTACAATCCTTTAACTCTGTATCATTGTTAGACTCAAAAATAATTCAATGGGGAGGAAAGTTCAGTAGAGTAAGTCAATTAAATGGGACTTTTTGATGCTAAGAAAATAATTCCACATAGTTGGATATCCAATTTATTAATTTAGTTGCTGTCTGCATAATAATACTTAGCACAAATAAAGCACTGTTTGTGTTTAAAAGTAGTTTTGAACATGATTCACAGATAAAGGGGGTATATATACTAGGGTTCTTTTACCCAACAGTTTTTTATTCTTATTCCCAGCAGTTCATTTCCACAAATGTTAGCAATCGTAGGAGCACAAGCAAAGACAGTGCTCTGGGTGGTAGCTGGCATTTTAAAAGAATGCCTTGCCTATAGCTGCTCAGGACAAGTCTATGCCACACAGTGTTCAAAATAATGGTGACCACCAGCATCTTGCCTACAATAGCCACCCCACAGTTGCTATCAGAGAGGAGATGAACCAATAGTGGCAAGTTTTAGCAAAATTTTCCTGGTGTAGACAAGATTTCGTTCTAGTCCCTAGACAAATTTTATAAGTAGGGTCCGACCAAATTCATGGTCCATTTTGGTCAATTTCATGGTCATAGGATTTTAAAAATAATAAATTTCATGATTTCAGATATTTAAATCTGAAATTCCACAGTGTTGTAACTGTAGAAGTCCTGACCCAAAAGAGGGTTGTATGTGTGTGTGTGTGGGAGGGGGGTTTGCAAGGTTATTGTAGGGAGTCATGGTATTGCCACCTTTACTTCTGCACTGCCTTCAGAACTGGGGCCTTGGCCAGCAGCTGCTGCTCTCTGGCCACCCAGCTCTGAAGGCAGTACAATAACCTTGCAACCCCCAGTATGAGAAATGCTGGTCTCCCCCGTGAAATCTGTGTAGTATAGGGTAAAAGAACACAAAAGACCAGATTTCACAGGGGAGACCAGATTTCACGGTTCGTGACGCATTTTTCACGGCCATGAATTTGGTAAGGCCCTATTTATAAGAATTATTATAACAGATTTTGGCTTCATTCCACTAGCCAACTACAAGGTGTTACAACCATTTTAGCTTAGCAGTGTTTAAAAGGGCTACATAACACTATTTTGTTCAGTCTGTTTCACTGTGTGTTATGCAGCACTCAAGCACATTTACATTTTCTGAATATGGCAATACAATACTTGCAGCTGGTCCCTAACACTCACTACTCATCAATGGTAATGGCCCCTCATTAGTGGTGATTACTGGCCATTGTTTCTCTGTAACTGCTCTATTCTACAGGCAACACTTGTATAGCTTATCATGCCCATAAGTATTACTGAACTGACAGACACACACATCACCCTTTTACACCACATAGAGGAAGACACTACTGCTAGCCTCCCAATTACAGTCACTCTAAACTCATGGGTTATACAAGTCGAATATCCTGAGAAACTTAAGTAGCGACACAGGACTTTAAACGTGTGTGTGTGTGCGCGCGCATTCAGCTACAATGTGGGTTGCAGCTGACCAAGGTTTCGAAGCACGATTACCACACAGTCTCATCTCAAGCTCAGTTTGGGGATATAGTTACGGTCCCAATTATACTACAATACAAAGTAGAACCAGGCTTTAATTTGTAATATAGACAAAGGCTAATTCTAAACATAGAATCATAGAAGAATTAGGGTTGGAAGGGACCTCAGGAGGTCATCTAGTCCAACCCCCTGCTCAAAGCAGGACCAACCCCAATTAAATCATCCCAGCTAGGGCTTTGTCAAGCCAGGCCTTAAAAACCTCTAAGGATGGAAATTCCACCACCTCCCTAGGTAACCCATTCCACTTCTTCACCACCCTCCTAGTGAAACAGTTTTTCCTAATATCCAACCTAGACCTCCCCCACTGCAACTTGAGACCATTGCTCCTTGTTCTGTCATCTGCCACCACTGAGAACAGCCGAGCTCCATCCTCTTTGGAACCCCCCTTCAGGTAGTTGAAGGCGGCTATCAAATCCCCCCTCACTCTTCTCTTCTGTAGACTAAATAAGCCCAGTTCCCTCAGCCTCTCCTCGTAAGTCATGTGCCCCAGCCCCCTTGATAATTTTCGTTGCCCTCCGTCTCTCTCCAATTTGTCCACGTCCTTTCTGTAGTGGGGGGCCCAAAACTGGACGCAATACTCCAGATGTGGCCTCATCAGTGCCGAATAGAGGGGAATAATCACTTTCCTCGATCTGCTGGCAATGTTTCTACTAATGCAGTCCAATATGCCGTTAGCCTTCTTGGCAACGAGGGCACACTGTTGACTCATATCCAGCTTCTCGTCCACTGTAATCCCCAGGTCCTTTTCTGCAGAACTGCCACTTAGCCAGTTGGTCCCCAGCCTGTAGCAGTGCATGGGATTCTTCCATCCTAAGTGCAGGACTGCACTTGTCCTTGTTGAACCTCATCAGATTTCTTTTGGCTCAATCCTCCAATTTGTCTAGGTCACTCTGGACCCTATCACTACCCTCCAATGTATCTACCTCTCCCCACAATTTAGTGTCATCCGCAAACTTGCTGAGAGTGCAATCCATCCCATCATCCAGATCATTAATGAAGATGTTGAACAAAACCGGCCCTGACCCCTGGGGCACTCCGCTTGATACCGGCTGCCAACTAGACATTGAGTTGTTGATCACTACCGGTTGAACCCGATGATCTAGCCAGCTTTCTATCCACCTTATAGTCCATTCATCCAATCCATACTTTTTTATCTTGCTGGCAAGAATACTGTGGGAGACCATATAAAAAGCTTTGCTAAAATCAAGAAATATCACGTCCACTGCTTTCCCCATATCCACAGAGCCAGTTATATCATCACAGAAGGCAATCAAGTTGGTCAGGCATGACTTGTCCTTGGTGAACCCATGCTGACTGTTCCTGATCACCTTCCTCTCCTCCAAGTGCTTCAAAATGGATTCCTTGAGGACCTGCTCTATGATTTTTCCAGGGACTGAGGTGAGGCTGACCAGTCTGTATTCTCATGTTAATTATGCTTCTATCCTGTGCTATTTTTCTATGCTCAGTAAAAGAATACATTGATTTTTAATTATTTAGCATGCAACTGATAGTTCTGGATCTAATTTTTCATATCATGTCTTACCAGGTATTCAAAACCATCAATAGCAGAATCAGCCTCATGCTAAGACTGGTAAAATACAGTACATGTTGGTAAAATTGTGATTTCACACTGTAGTTGGTGGCAGGAGATATTTATTCATAACAACAAGTACAGCATTCTTCAGCCTTGAAATGTCGTATAGACATTACCTAAACATTCACAGACTTCTTGCGCATACATAGCATGGTCCAGTCAATAGACTGGGTTTGGAACTAGGAACCTGAAACACCTGAGTTTTCGTCTTTGGCTTTTGCTCCCAACTCTAATGGCCTTGAGCAAGTCATTTAATTTCTCCGCGCTTCCATTTTCACTTTGAAAAGGAGGGCATAATATCTACCTCTCTTGCAGGGCTATTGTGAAGACTAAGTAGCTCGTGCTTTGAGTGTGCAAAGGGCTATATACAGGCTAAAATTATTATTCTCCCCATTTTACAAAAGGGAAACCTGAAGCAGAGATATAAACAGAAATGTAATCTTTTAAAGGGTTTTTCCAAAACATAGCCTTGATTATAATTTCATTAGTGGATAAAGCATGGCTTATTTTTTTTTAAAACTGCAACCACCACTAGATGGCAAAGTTATACTGCTCTCAGTGAGATCATCTGAATAACAAAGAATCTGAAAATTAAATCTCTTTTTAAGTGTCTCAAGACAAAGAAGTGAACTATTGGCATGATTACACAAATAGAAACAACTGCTTGATTGAGTTAAATTTAAATTATAGTCCCTTGATTCACAATCAGATACACTAGTGAACTGAAACATAAACTTGGAACAGATAACAATAGGTAGAAAACCCTGACTAGACTGGCTATGTCTATACTTGCTTATTTACCCTAAAATTTCCCAATGGTGGTAAGTAACGGTGGGAGTGTGATTGTAGAGAAGCCACTGGATTTTTAACCAAGAGGTGCGGAATAGAAAACAGTGATTAAAGTCCTTTGTCCTCACTAGTGCCTGCACCACTGTGACAACAACTGGGAAATTTTAGGGGGAAAACACTAGTGCAGACAAGGCCTTTGAGACCATCCCATTCATTCTGAGTTGTTATTATGACCTAAACACAACTTGAATTCTGTCTTTAAGGCTAAAATTTTCAAAAGCACTTTAAGAAACTTAGTTGCATATGTTCCACTGAAATATAGTCACTTCTAAAAATTTTACCCTAAGGTCTTATCTACAGAGGTAAAACTGGTTTTGATTAACTGGGTTTGATCATGGTTCATTCTAACATGGTTTAAACACAGTTTGCTTACCCAGAGAATAATATGAATATGTAATTCTTGCTTGTTCTCCCTAACAGCCTCCTTTGATTTAACTCTGTATAGTCAGACAGAATATCATCAAGCAGGTAAAGTGAAGTGAAGTACATATAATATTCATAAAAATAATCCAGATATCGTCCTCATTCTTCACAGCAGGGATAAGAGTTTTAAAAACATGTTTAAACCCACATGTTTCAACATGATGATGCCTAATCTACACTGGGCAGGTAAATCATATTTGTGTTGTGTTACCATGAACTATAGTTAACTCCAGTTCAGCTGCAGTAGTATGGTTTTGGACCTAGCCATTGTAAAAATGCAGACATACCAGGGAACTTGTTTACAACACAGGTTGTCCCCTAAATCAGTTTCAACATGATTCCATGGTTAATAGTGTACTTGAGCCTAACTATAAAATATGGATAAACAAGAAACTGAAACTATGGGATTGATCCTGCAACTGGATCTACACATTTGGACCCCTGCATGCATGCAGATCCAGTTTCAGGAGTGGGGCCTAAGTTGCAAATGGACAGGAAAAAGGCCATATATCTCTAGTGTAGATGGGGCTTACAGGTGAAAGGTTAATAAACTTTCCTACTACAGTTTATATTCCCTAACATTATGACACTGACCTTGCAAAAATGTATGCATGTGCTTAACTTTATGCACTACCACAATTTGTTTTAAATTCCAAGAACAAAAGTTTCATGTTTAGTATAAACTGTTTGAAATGAACCATAATATTTAAGATAAATCTTCTAATGTATTATTTTCAAATAAGAATTGGCATGTGTCCTCTTTCAGTTCACTCACAATCTATTCAGAAAGCAGACCACAATCTTTCATGGTTGTGTAATCTTTTGCATCTTGTATCCAATCTACTGTTAGTGATTGAGACTCTTCCTGTATATTGGCTTTGATACTGATGACATCCATACAAATTTGAAAATACACGTGCTCTGTATGGAATGTGTTTCACTGATGTATAAGAGCAACAACACCTTACAACAACACCTTACCTGACCCTTGTTTGATGACAGGAGCTGATGGAGGTGGTGGTTTCTTAGGTCTCTAAAATCAAGGAAAAGCAGAAAAGAGATTGCTTGTAAACACTTGAACTCATAGAAAGATTTGATGTAATCAGATACTACTTTACAATGAAAATTACATGTCTTCGGATTCCAGACCTGTCAATCACACATTTCACAAGTACTAAATTCAATTAAAAGATTTTCAAGGAAGAAAATGTAATTGAGAAATAATATGCCACTTTTACTATTTTTATACTTGAAATGTCTTTTAGATAAAAGCTCAGCATTAAGTGGCTTACAATCACTGAAAACAATGGCCTTTTGTACACTGAAGTAGCCTTTGCAATTAAGACATAATCTTGTAAATATCCAAAGCCATTTTGAAAAACGTGTATAGGCAATGCAGGAGCTGAAATATGTTTCTTACACTAAGTTGAAGCATAAATGCAGAACACAGGAAATACTCTAGAGTTTACATTTTGTCATTTGCCAATATATGGTTGTTATCCCATTTGTGAAGAACATCTTCAAGCACAGTTATTAAGGCTTCCCATGTCTGATGAAATGAAGCTAATTATTCACATCAACAGCCTATTATTCATCATTTACTTTTATTTTCTCTGCTATCACCATCCTTCCTAACAGGACTGCAACACTTTGCATGTTTCACAAATACGATCACTGAAATGGTTCCAGATCTGTTTTTCTTCTCTATTATGTAGATTAGCTGCGGGTGGTTTTTCCTTTTGTGCATGTGTGCGCGCGCACACCATACTGACAGATGCTGTAAATGCCTTGGAGTGAATGCAAAATCAAACAGGGCATATGACACACTAATTTAACTCCCACACTTAGAATAAAAGGTCAAAGCTATTGAGTTAAAACTCTTCTAATAAAAAATGTGTGCGTGCGTGTGTGTGTGTGTGTGTGTGTATATATATATATGTTTTTATTAGAGAGGTGTTAGATAGAGAGATAGATAGAGGGACGGCTCCAGGCACCAGTGCACCAAGTGCGTGCCTGGGGTGGCAAGCCGCGGGGGGCGGCCTGCCGGTCACCGTGAAGGCGGCAGTCAGGCTGCCTTTGGCAGCATGCCTGCGGGAGGTCCGCCGGTCCTGCAGCAATTCGGCGGCGGGTACGCCGAAGGCGCGGGAACAGCGGACCTCCCGCAGGCATGCCGCCGAATCCGTGGGACCGGGGACCTCCCACAGGCATGCCGCCGAATCCGCGTTACCAGTGGACCTCCCGCAGGCATGCCGCCGAAAGCCGCCTGACTGCCGTGCTTGGGGCGGCAAAATACATAGAGCCGCCCCTGGATGGATGGATAGATAGATAGATAGATATAAAACACACACACTCTCTCTCTCTCTCTATGGTATTCCTCATTCCTCAGGATGACTCTATTGTTCCGCTTAATCACTTGCAACCTAATGGCCACTATCTTCTTGACTGAGGAACAATGATCAGGACACCCTTTATTATAGGTGGGGCTGGTAGCACTGCTTACTAAGTTTGCCTGATACTACTCATTATAAGCCTGTGTTTTCAGTTGCTTATAACTTTCCAAAAATGTAATCCTTTTGGCTGAAATTGTCCTTGCTGGGTGTCTGCCTCAGGCTGAATTTTTGGGGGGAAAGTTCAACAATTTCCCCCCCAAATTTAGCCAAGTTACAAGCCTTTGAAATTAAAATTACAGTTCACATGTGCTCAGTAAAGATTTACTAGGGCTAAATATCTACAATCTCTGAAGATCCCATTCTCACTGAGTATGGTCTATCCCCTCACACCTCTCAGATGCACCATCCTCACAGAGTGACTGAGCATGTTCCAGCCCAAGGCTAAGGGGGGTTCAAAGCCTTTCCCTGTAGTGGCTGTTCTGGGCCAGGGTGAGGCTGGACACTGGAGCTGAGAGCAGGGAGCCTGCCTCTCCCGTGCTTTCACTGCTGGCCTCTTCTCCTCCTCCCCCCCCCCCGCAAGCTGATGCCCAAGCAGTGTGGAAGAGGAAGCCATCTGATTCTAATACAGTGGGAATAAAAGCAGGGAGAGAAAGAAGTACATTGGGACACAGAGTCTGGTAAGATTGGGACTAGAGGGGAAGGGAGAGAAACTTTGATTGGGAGGTGGAAGGGGGAGATTGGGACTGTCTAGACAAGAACCCACTGGGAGCCAGTGGCAGCAGGCGCAGACTGTGGTTGGTTAAATGGAGGCAGTTGGGAGCTGGGATTGGTTGGGCCAGGAGACTGGGAGTGGGAACTGGAGGGACTTGGAGTCAGTTGGTTGCGGGACGGGGGAGGACACAGATTGGATGAGAAAATGGGGGAGAGCAAAAAGTGGAACTGGATAGGCAAAGAGACCAGAACAAAGAATGGAGGAGGGGCTGGCTGAGTCCAAGACTGGCTGAAGAGCCTGAGGATGGAGCCTGTGACTAGGGGCTAGTGTCAGGGGAGTGATGGGAGGAAACAGATCAGACAAATAGCTGAGAAGAGGAAACGGGGACTGGCTGGAAAGGAGAGTGGGACTGCAAGTTAGGGCAGGGAGCAGACTGGGACTTGGCCCTGAGCCAGGAGGGGAGACCAGGACTTGCTGGGCAAGGAGTCTGAGACTGGGATGAGAAGCCTGAGCAGTGGAGACTCGTACTGAAAATGTATCAGCAAAGGGGTCTGGAACTAAGGCAGGAGCCAAGGATGGGAAAGAAACAGGAGTGGCACAGGGACTGGTTGAAAGGGACAAGACAGAAGGGCTCAAGCTTGGAAGTCTGCGCCAACAGAGGCGGATTAAGATTTACTGGGGCCCTGGGCATAAATAACTTTTGGGCCCCCCCCGCAGTCACCTCGCACTGGGTCCCTGCCCCTTGCTCCTCCTCTCCCCATTCCCATTCTCTTCCCCCCACCCCCACCTCCCTTCCCCACTGCCTCTCCCCCCACCCCACCCCCTTCCCCATATTCCTTTCCCCACTCCTTCTTCCCCCCACACCCTTCCCCACTCCCTCTTCTCCCCACCCCCTTCCCCTGCCCTTCCCCATTCCCCCACTCCCTCTTCCCCCTCCCTTCCCCATACCCCTTTCCCCACTCCCTTGCATATTTTTTTCAAGGGTCTCTGCCTCTTCTAGAAATCACTTTCTTTTCATTACCAGGCCTTATGTTCTTTTCCAGGCTATCCACTCTGATGTGGAATGTCATTTTACTCCGTGAAAGTGTTTTTGTTGCTCTCACAAGAGCCATAAATTCCACCTTCATCTTCAATAGTTATGCTAGCTTCTGAGAGTTGTTTTGTGATTTCTTTATCAAGGTTTCCAAGTTATTTAATCTGGCATCCAATTTTACTGTCAGTCCTTGAGAGAGAGTGTCTCTGAGTCTTGATTTTATCATTGATGGCTTACATACTAATCACTCTGAACTATAAATGAAGAGCCTGATTAGAAGCTCACAGTATCACCCTGATGACAGAGGAGTTTCCTGAAAATGGGGTAGTCTCATTAGAGAGGAGGAATCTACCAAGTTCTCTCAGAAAGTGTGTTAGGATTTCTAAGTGGTGTTAGGGAAATAAATAACTTTGCCTATTTTAAAATAGGCAAAATAATTTTTCCCACAGTTTAAAAAAAAAATTAATGGATTCTGACAAAGCTCAAGCGAATATGTCATTAAACAAGCTGAGCTTTCTCCTTTCAAACACATGCTAGAATTTCACCCTTTTCTTTCTGGAAGAGTGTTTTAAATTATGGCTGCTGGCAAGAGAAAATGACATCTGTCTAAAAGCAGTTGGTAGACTAATGTTTCATACTGTATCTCACACACTGTAGACATGTTAATGATTCTGATCATCATTACACCATAAAAACTGAGCAATTACACCATGATCTCCAGTCATTCTGTCTCAGATAAACTGACAATGGCACAGAGGGCTTTAAAAACAAGGTAGTAGAGGTTGGATGACTGGTTTTATGGGCCAGCAAAATACCTTCCAAGAAATTACACAATATGTCCTCAAGCTATGAACAATCCAATCATAGATGCTGCTGCTGTTATCCAGCAATGCTACTTTCCCTAACCATTTTTTTTAATTTTTTGCAAGTGTAACTTGTATTGTATGAATCATAGAAATCCAGAGCAGAATTTCATCTCAAATTTTATCCTATATGATAGAGCAAACCAGAGGGAAATAATTACACTTACCTCTTTTTCAAAATCAGAGGGAAGAAGCTTGACAAAGTTATCTGGAAACACTCCACGCCTGCCATTGAGTTCTCCTTCCCACCAGCCTGCATCAATGCAATCCTACAATACATTAAAATAAAATGTCAAAAATTAAATGTGCACATATGATGTACAGATTTATGGGTTGAAAGGCAGTTTGCCATAACCTTCTGCCTTTTCACTACAGCAGGACAATTTTCTAGAGTTTCAGGTACACAGAACACTCTCCTAAATGAAAGCTACAATAATCATCGTGGCTCATGTTGTGATGTGGAATAAGGAGGAAAGAACAATAAATGTAAGTGCTTAATCAAGACTGGCTGGGCTTAAAGTGAAACGTTACCATTTAATCCATTAAACCAATAAGGCCTTTTGGCAGGTATGATATTACTTCTCTCTGATTTCATTTTAGTAAAATAAAATGATTTTATTAAACAAATACATTTTAGAATGCATTCTAAGCATTAACAAGACTCCTTTATTTTAATACTAAGGCTCTGAAATCTAAAACCTCTTCAAAGAGACCTTGACACACTAATAACTTTTACAATGATTACATTTGATCACAAGTCCATTTGAACCATTATATGATGATTCATTCTTTATTACCACCAATCATTGATTAGCAGTATGTTTACATCTACCCAGAAACTTCTTTAAGGCATCACCATCGTCTGCAGCCTTCTGTGAATAGCACAAATTAGTGTGTATAACAAAAAAATTCTATTAGGGTGGTGACAACAAAAACATTGAGTTATGACATTATTAGATGACAGGCTGGAGGCACAGGCTAATTCTAAATAAAAAAAGAGAATTAAGTATCTTGGTAAGGAACCATAATAGTGAAATAGAAAAAAACCTGATAACTTAAGGTTTTTCATTATTATGTATGATTAATTCTCTTTATTATTATTATAACCAGAGATGACAGACACTGTTGTTCAGCTGCTTATAGCTTTGCCAAACGAAACGGTTCAGACTGAAATTTTCCATGCTGGGTATCTGCCTCAAGCTGAATTTTATTTGAAAGTTTCAGCTAAAATGGTTCAGTCATTAAAAAAACGACATTGGGGAAATATGTTGTTTTGCTCATATTGAAAAATTTATTACAGCCATTGGATTGAGAACCTCTATCACCCCCATGTTTTGGAGCAAGGGCTTGACATTTGGCAAGGGCTTGCCCTAGTGCCAGGGAGATACACCTCTACCCCGATATAACGCGACCCGATATAACACGAATCGGATATAACGCGGTAAAGCAGCGCTCTTGGGGGGCAGGGCTGTGCACTCCGGCGGATCAAAGCAAGTTCGATATAACGCGGTTTCACATATACAGTGGTAAGATTTTTTGGCTCCCGAGGACAGCATTATATCGGGGTAGAGGTGTATATGCCTTTTGCTGACCCTGTGAATATTCAACCACATTTGCCCACATTAAAACCTCTGAAAATTCACAGTTCACACATGCTCAGTGGACAGCTGTTAGAGTTTGGAGGTAAATTCTCTGAAGATTCTGTCTAAAGTGAGAATAATCCAATACAGGGCTGTGAAGACCACTGGCAAAGTATCTCATCCCTGTCTAGTGCCTGGTCCACATAAAAAATAATAGTCTACTTCTGCTAGCAGTTACTCTGTTAACTTAAGTGGGAGAGGCCTATCAGGTCGATATATAGGTCCGAACCCTGTTGATGACCCAAGTTGAGAGTCAGTATGATTCCACATGATAGAGTTTTTTTAAAGTAGGAAATTACATTTAAATAAACTACATTAATAGAACATTAAGGTCTTTAATTACATAACCACATCCTACTTTTTTCACAGAATGCATGGTCCTCAGGGAATGAATCGATGTCATGTAGTGAATTAAGCTGCTGTCTGTAGGACCCTGCCTCATTTGTCACAGAAGTTGGAGGTGTGTAATCAATGAGACAAGGGACTGCAGGAAGAGAGAGGATGGTCTTATGATTAAGGTTTTGTCCTTGCATCAGCCACAGAGTTTCCATGTGATACTGGGCAAATCATTTAAACTAAAATGTTCACAGCTGGCCACTAATAGTGTGTTCCTCATTTTCTGGGTGCCAAACATGAGAACTCTGGGGGCTGATTTACAGAAGAGCTGAGCACTCACAGCTGCAAATGAAGTCACTGGGAGGTGTGCTTTGAACATATAGTGCTATATAATGCTAAATACTGGGGAAAATCAGGTTCTAGGTTTCTCAAATTGGGCACCCAAAATTAGTGGAAACTTTTGGCTTTTAATCTCTCTGCCTCATTTCCTCATCTGTAAATTGGAGATAATACTACCCCCTCACCTCACAGAGGTACTATGAAGATAAATTAATTGTTTGTGAAGCACTCAGATACTATAGCAATAACCACTATAAAAAAAGCTCATGAGGAAGTGAGTAATTCTGTATTCAGAGCAGGGTTTGAATAGTGTGCAGTAAATAAGGCGTGGGGCCACACATGGAACTATGAAGATAAAAATATATAGAATAGCAGCTCATTCAGTAAGCACTGTCCAAACTGCGCAATGAATGAAGCAGGTGTCCTGTGGAAAAAATAGCAGGTGATCATGGTAATTAAAGACTGCATTATAATGCAGACACATGAGGGGGCCAAATTAAGGTTGCATTGGCTTACTATTGCTTTTTCAGGTAAGCAATTGCTTTAGTTGCCATAGAGATGTGAGATGAGCGCAAGTGAGAGAAGCAGTGTCTGCAGAAAAGTCTCTCTGTTCAATAAGACATAGTCCACGCTATGAAAAACTTGAAAAAAATCTTGCTCAGTATTACTAATTACTTTGCATCTGTTTATTTCTGTTGCATTTTTCTAGAAGTGGTAATGTGTGTATAGCAGGAAGGGATTAAATGAGGGAAAACAAATTAGTATTAAAAGGAAAGAAGACTGCGAATATTTTCTATTCAGCTTATTTACCTTATTTCATCTCAGAAGAACTAGTTAAATGGCATGGTACCTTGGATAGTAATTTATCCATTGTTGGACCAGAGACAGATCTGGTCCCCCTTTCTTTTATTTTTGTTTTTAACCACAATTCACTGATTTACTGTGTCCATGATCTAAAAACAGGCAACTGAACAACTCTTCCACTCTACTTTCCTCCCCTATTCCTTTCCTCTTATCTCTTTGTGATCAGTTTATTTTCCTTCCTCCCAACTTTCCCTCCTATTTAGCATTGTGGGTTGCAGTCATAATGCCTTCATTTTTCAGCACTACATTTACATCTTTGAACAGATTTCTCTTTTTGGTTTGTATAACAACCTCTGGCTTAGTAAATTGGGCTGATCCTTGGCTAACTGATGACTTTAAATAAAACAAACTTTGCGAGAATTACATGCTCAGTGAGTGATTTAAAATATAGGCAGGCATTTTTACACGCCTCATTCCTGAGGTGCAGTAACTGTCCTACTCCTGGGCAATGTCTACTTCAGCAGAGACTACTATTCAGTATATTGAATTATGCTATATTTTGTGGTGGTTTTCTAATGCGATATCCTTTTGATACTAATCTGAAATTGCCAAAATATTTATGACCTAATTTAGTTTTGAATGGAGCTCTTCAGAGATGAAAGGTTTGTGCATAGAACAATGGCACTTTTTAGCTCTAGCTAATATTCCTGATGATTACACACACTTTATCGGATGTATATTTTTTAGGTCAAGGTTTTAGTTATCCCCTATGGTCGTGGAAATCCTTTTCCTATTTTCTCACTTCATATACCCCAGTTAAATTTCATATTTGATGCTTCTAATTCTTTAAGTTTACTCATTTTCATGAACAGATTTGTTATGTATCATGCTCATTAATCCAGAACAGATGGTGTCCCCCAATCCCCACAACCTGCCAATCAGGCTTATGCAGCCAATCGCCACACAGGATTTTTCACACATTAAGCAAATCTTCAGACAGCCTCTCTAATTTTTCCATTCTCTATCTTATATGCAAGAAGGTCCTTCTCTGTCTCTGAGCAGAAAGGATGGGGAGACTTCATCAAAAAGAAAGCTAAATTTGGAGAATGGGTGTACATCATCTAGGACGTCACCTTGCAGTCCACCATGAAAATACAAGATAAGTGGGAAAAAAAGAGGAATTTGTGTTCGATAAGAACAGGAGTGTTTAATTCAGAGCTTTAAGAAGTATTGTCAGGAAGAGTTTGAACCAAAATTTAACTTTTGTAAAAATAAGCTTTAACAAAAGCTAAAGACCAACAGAACTGTTTTAATTAATTTCTTTTAAAGCTTCCAATGGAAACCTTTTATAAAACAAAAGTATATTTCCTCCTGCAGCGTTTGTAACCAACACATTGCAGTATTATGCTTGTGCAGCATAAGAACCTGAGCATGTGATAAAATGACTTATAGAAACTATGTGGTAAAACAAAAATTTTTGACTACTCTTTTCATCGTCCAGGCTGAGAGAAACATAAAACTTAAACAGTACAGTGAAAAGTAAAGAGGATGTTTAACTTTTTCTCCCTTTAAAAAGAAAAACCGGAGGAGTTTTTTGTAATACACTAAGGAATTTTTGTCTCACATTATTTTAAGGTGAACAGATTTTTAAATACACTCCTAGCAAAATTAACAAAGCAATAAAACCTAAGATAAAGGACATGGCTTTCATATAAAGAGCTTTTTATCCATAAATCTCAAATCAATTTACAGAGGAAAGTATCATCTCCATTTAACAGGTGGGAAAATGGAGACAGAGAAGAAGGGATGGGCCCAAGGTCACAAAGCAGGCCAGTGGAAGAAGCCAATTTGCAATCTACATTCTCAGACTCTCCAGTCCAGTAGCCTAATCACTGGACCACATTAAAGTATTATTAGACGAAATAAAATAATTTGTTAGCAAAGTTCTTCTGTAGTAAAGGAGAAGCTTGGATTAAAAAAAACAGTAAACACCACCAAACCCCCAGGCATGTACTCGGGCTGCTAGCCCTAGCCTCCATGGCTGCACTGCTATGTTTAGCCCACTGAAATTGAGCAGAACTAGTGCATTTATGTCTACCGAAGTTGAGAATTATACCTTCCAGCTATTGTGCAGACATACCCTATAAGAC